GGGATCAGATCGGGTGCAATTCCCACACTGTGTCTCTCGTGTTGTCCCACACAGGGCCATGGGTCAATGAGGGCCATCATGTCACATAGTGGGGCTGGCCATGTGGTCTTCTCTGTTACTGACTGTTCTAATTGGGGTCATCGTCCTCAAGGCCTGGTGGGCCAGGATGTGCTCCAGTCTCTCCTCCTCCCCCATCATCATTCACCCAACTCAGCCTCCTCCTCCCTAATGACCTCTCTACCAGGACACTTCATCATGACCTTTCTCTGGGTTCTCAGTTTCTTCTTTCTTATCTCAGTCCTCATGCACTGGCTCCTACCTTAAATCTGGACTTCTACTTCATCAAACTCTTCTATAATTTCCCTTTATAACTTTGTAAACTTCAGGCAATTTACTAGTTCATTTCTTTGAGCAGTGTTGCTCTCTTGACAATATTTAGTCTTCTAATCAATGAACACAAAGTGTCTTTCCATTTACTTGGACCTTTTTAAAATTCCTTCAACAAAAATTTTTAGCTTTCAGAGCACAACGTTTTCGTTTCCATCATTTCTAAGTATCATTTTATACGCTATTTTTTAAAGAATTGTTTATTTAATGTCCTTTTAATATTGCTGATTGTTGATCTACAAAAGTACAATTTATTTTCTTATGTTGATCTGGAACCTGCAATTCTTTTTTTAAAATCATTTTATTAGGCGCTCATACAACTCTTATCACAATCCATACATAGATCAATTGTGTAAAGCACATTTGTACATTCATTGCCCTCATCATTCTCAAAACATTTATTCTCCACTTAAGCCCATGGCATCAGCTCCTCATTTTCCCCACCCTCCCTACTACCCCCTCCCTCATGAACCCTTGATAATTTATAAATTATTATTTTGTCATATCTTGCATTGTCCGATGTCTCCCTTCACCCACTTTTCTGTTGTTCATCCCCCAGGGTTATATGTAGATCCTTGTAATTGGTTCCCCCTTTCCACCCCACCCTCCCTCTACCCTCCCGGTAATGCCACTCTCACCACTTGTACTGAAGGGATCATCCCCTAGATTCCCTGTGTTTCCAGTTCCTATCTGTACCAGTGTACATCCTCTGGTCTAGCCAGATTTGTAAGGTAGAATTGGGATCATGATAGTGGTAGGGAGGAAGCATTAAAGAACTAGAGGAAAGTTGTATGTTTCATCATTGCTACATCGCACCCTGACACATCATTGCTACATTGCCACCCTGACTGGCTTGTCTCCTCCCTGAGACCCTTCAGTAATGAGATGTCCAATTGCCTACAGATGGGCTTTGGATCTCCACTCCACACTCCCCCTCATTAAAAATGATATGATTTTTTGTTCTGATGATACCTGATACCTGATATAATTTACACCTCCTGATCGGACAGGTGGGTGTGCTTCTTCCCTGTGAGCTTTGTTGCTTCTCACCTAGATGGCTGCTTGTTTACCTTCAAGCCTTTAAGACCCCAGATGCTATATCTTTTGATAGCTGGGCACCATCAGCTTTCTTCACCACATTTGTTTATGTACCTGCTTTGTCTTCAGCGATTGTGTCAGGAAAGTGAGCATCATGCAATGCCAGTTTAATTGAATAAAGTATTCTTGCATTGAGGGTCTACTTGAGTGGAAGCCCAATGTCCATCTGCTACCTTAATACTAAACCTATATATATATGCACAAAGATCTATTTCCACATCCTCATATATAAATATATTTACATATGTACATGCCTTTTTTTAGACCTCTATAAATGCCTTTTGCTTCCTAGCTCTTTCTTCTATTTCCTTTTACTTTCCTCTTGTCCCATCTAATGCTCAGCCTTCATTTGGGTTTCAGTAATTCCTCTCTGTTACATTACCCTTGATCACGCCCTACCAGGCCTCCTACACCCTCCTCACCACCGATTTGGATCATTTGTTGTTCCCTTGTCCCTGGGTTTGTTAACACCACTTCTTTTCCGCCCACCTCCTCCTCTCCCATGTCCCCCCATAACCCACTGGTCCTAGTGTTTTCTTCTCCAAATTGTCCATCCAGCCTATCATCCAGCCTGCGGAGATAATAACATGCACAAAAACAAGACAGAGCAAAACCAAGCAACAAAATGAAACAAAACAGCAACAACAACAACAAGCCAATGACAAGAAAAATCCACAATAACAAAAAAGAAAAGCTTGTTGTTAGTTCAAGGACTGTTTGTTGGCCTTTAGAAGTGTTTTCCAGTCGAGTCTGTTGGGGTGCCAAGCCCTGACCCCAAAGTCTATTTTTGGTATTCCCTGGGGTCTTCATTGCTCTGTTCCCCTTGCTGTATTATGAAACCTGGAATTCTTATGAATCATATTAAGCAGTTTCAGAACGTTTTCTTCTTTCTTCTTTTCATTAGTACCCATTTCCCCCAACTCCCCTGCCATAGCCCTCAGAAACTATTAATCCACTAACTGTCTCTATAGATTTACCTATCCTAGATTTCATATACAGAAAAACATACAAGAAAAGCAACCGCAATAACAAAATAGAGCAGAGAAAACCCTCAATCAATTTAAAAAGCTGAAATCATTAAAAACTAGAACAAATTTAAAATAGGAAAAGAGGAGCTGATACCTAGGGCTCAAATAAAAGAAAATGTTTTGGAAATGATGATGGCAACATATGTACAATTGGGCTTGATACAATTGCTGTATGATTATAAGAACTTTAAGAGCCCCCAATACAATGATTTATTATAATTTCTAAGAATAAAATAAAATAGGTCAAAAGGAGAGCAAATGATAAGGTGTTACATTTTTTTCTTCCAGTTTTTTTTTAATTGGGGGCTCTTACAGCTCTTACCACAATCCATACATACATCCATTGTGTCAAACACACATGTACATATGCTGTCATCATCTTTTTCAAAACAGATGAGGTGTTAAATTTTAACCTAACCAAATCTGCAATAATAACCCACTTTCCAATGCGCTCTGTCTGATAGCCTGGCTATTTATACTCCTGGTCAATTGTCAGAGGGGATTCATCAGTGGCTTAATACATGTGGAGTCCCTGCAAATGGATTTGCGCTTCCACTGCCTTTCATAGCTTTCTGCAACCTTGGTACCCAGAATTGAAGCTCTGATACTGTTCCCTTCTCCAGCCTTGAATTTTATTATTTACAATCCTTGGATCACAG